TTCTTAACACCAGCTATAATTTGCCCCCTTCTCTGTGGAAAAACAAACCACCTCCAGTGTCTGGAGAGAACACAGAAATGCTGTCATGTGAAAGGTTTACCGGTGCTTTGGGACTGCTAGTATTACTGCCTGCCTGTGGTATCTAACAACACCTGACTGTATTCATCTGCAGTTGTGTCTCTGTTTAGCCTTATCTAAAAATGCGCTTGTACATTTGGCAGTTCTTCATTGCTCAGAAGGCATTTATTAGTTCAAGGATATGTTGGCAGCTTTATATATCAAATCCTAGCCCCAGCTCTGGCTGAGAATTAATGGAGACTTATTGTAACTCCCAAATAGTCCTGCAATTCAAAGCAAAGGCTTGCATCTATATTAACTGGTTTGAAAGATCTGTACTCGCAGTCATGTGGATGCTTGTTTGTTGTCCATCCTGGAGTATGTTTGCTCCTTCATTCGTTGAGAGGGAAAGGTTAGAAATGTGCATTGCGTCTCTCCCCTCAAACAGAAAGCATAACCTTCTCCTAAGCTCTCTTTTCTCTGGAAAAGATCCCTGGTGATCTTGTAACTCTGAAGAATGTACACAAGTATCACCCTGTGGGTTTTATTTCCACTTTCCCCTTACCGTACTTGTACAGTAACTAGGAGTTCTCCTTTTTAAATACTGAGCAGCATGATTAGGAGAAGGTGTCTTCCTAGTGCCAGTTTAGCTCTGCCATTGTTCTGCACTCTTATTGTATTTTGATGCAGTTGACTTGGAACCTTCCATCTATTCTCACTCTAGTTGCAATGATCTGGAACTTGTTCACCCAAATGCTGTGCCAAACCGAAGGCTTCTATTTGACTGCCACATCTTGGAGGCCAATGCTGCAAAGTTGTTAGCCATACATATCACAGTCCCATAGTGCAATAGGTGTTAGCAAAAAAAAATAATGTTCATGGAAACCATTGCAGGAATGCTCAGACTGTATGTACAGCATGTATTCACTTAGTGATTTTTAATATGTATTTAATTCACGGCTGCTCGCTAGTCATCAGAGTTATACTGAAATCAGTCTCTGAATTATTCCCAAGAATGAGTAAGGACATTTTTTCTAAAAATAGGTGCAGTATATGGTGGTTAGTACTACAACCCTACAGCTCTTGGGTCCTGGGTTCTGTTCTGGCTTACAGTGCTTTGTGCATGGAGTTTGCACATACTTCCTCTGTCTGCATAGGTTTTCTTCCAGTGAACAGTTTTACTCAGTTTTACCTTCAGAGACTAGCTGGCAGGGCTTGTTAGTATCTCTAAATGATTCCTGTGTCTGTGTCCTGCCATGGACTGGCATCCTGACCAGGGTATAGTTCTGCGTTGTGCCCTGTGCTTGCAGGGCTGCTCCGGGTTCCTGACACCTTCAAGATGAGTTACATCTTTAGTGTTTTTGCAGCTTTTTTTCTTTACTTAAATACTGAGAGATTATTGCTGTGGAGCTTTACACAGCTCTGAAAATCTAAAAATCTGGAAAGTGTTCTGTAAATGAATCCTAGTTAAACTGGGGCGAGGCGATACAGCCTTTGGCTCGGACTGTTAGAAAGATGGGATAGAACTGCAGAGCTGATGCCACTGGCACCCATATTAGTCATCGTAATCAGCAGCACTCATTTCCTTTAAAGAAAAGGCTTTTTTTTCCTTAGTGAGTGACAGCACAAAGAAAGGGTTTTCTTTCATTTTGGCTGCCATAATCCTGCAATCAGGACCTAATCAAAATGAACAGCTTTCAAAACTTTACAGCCTTTTCTTGGAACCATGGTTTTGTTTGCTGGCAGATTTGATTCAAATCACAGGGAGATTTTGTCATTACCACTAATTGCCAGTGATTGCATATTGTGTTCAAATGAAAGCTTGTTAATAGCCGAAGTGTGTGATGATTTTAAGTAGAATATTATTATCTTACAATCACAAATGTAAAAGCATTGCTTAAATACAATAATTAAACACACTGAGTGAGGGAAATAGTTTTGAGATCCGAACATGTCCCTAGCTTATGACCAGTGTCCTAGATTTAAAGTGTTTTTGAAATACCTTCAATTTATTTTAATTACCTGCATTTCCCTCCCTTGATTTCCTTTTCCCTGGGATAATTTTTGTTCTGTACAAAATTATTTAATTAGGCTAATAAAAATTGCACAAGCACTCCTACAAAATTACTTGATGCACTTAAGTGGGTTTAGTACAAGCTTAAGACTCTTTTGTTTGACAGCAGCAAATTGAAATACACAGTTGTTTTTGTCCACAGGAATTGAAATGAAACTTGTAGCTTATTCCCTTATCATTTTATTATTAACGGGGTCTGGGTTCATTTGAAACCACATGTATGGTTTGACATTTTGCTGCTTTAAGCGTTTGTTTGATGAGATGGATCTTGTATTGCTACAGTATAAAAGAAAGCGGTGTTGGTCTTCTGATATCAGTGTTTTTGGTTGTAGTAAAGATAGGGCATGATCTCAAACCCTGAGATGCAAATCTCCACCCCAGTGGTTCTTAGAAGTGGCACAAGTCACAAAGTGGCACGTTGTTGAATACTCAATCATTGATAAGACTGCAGCAAGAATGCACATCAACAGCCATTTGTAGGGGCCGTTGGAAATTCTCCAGCCATTGTTTAACTGTGATCACATCTTCAGGTTTGCAAAGGTTACACAGATTTTCTTGTTTTTTGTGTACTATTGTTACCTCTAGTGAGCTACAGTATGCACTCTGCCATGCTGTGCAATGCACAGAGTTTGTGTTTAATTTTAGCAGTGGTTAGCTGAGAGTCAATGGCCTCATGTCCTAACACTTCCTGAAAAGTGTGTGTGCACTTTCTGCAGTTTCCTGTGACCGTGATAGCTGGTAGTTATGGTAAGTCTAGATAAGCACATGGTGTTGACAAAATTCAACAAATGTCTACAAGAAATGTTTAAATCGGGAGAATGTTCTTTTATTTTTGGATACAAAAATGTTTCATCGACATGAGGCAGCATTAAGGACTTTTATGTATGTTTTTATGCATCATACACATTGTAAATTTTTCATTACTGTATTTCATTTTCTGGCTCTCATAATTATTGTTTCACCACAGTTTCAACACACACAGCCTGATCATTTAGAAGCGCTGTTGCTTCTCATGTTCAGTGCAAGCAAGCAATTTAGAATGTGACAATTAGAGTGACATATTAATCCATGGAAAAGGAACAGCACATTTTAATATATGTAAATGAAAACCAATAAATAACAGGAATAAAAACCTTGAAATGAATGTTTTGAATTTTATTAGTCTCTGCTGTAGTGTGACATTGTCATGTATTTACATGTAGTAATCCCGTGTATCTATTTAGTACAGGTTTAATATTCTACTCTCTCTTTGTATTTTGGCAATTACAAGACTTACGGTATACGGTTTCCTATTCAAATCAGGGCATGATTGTTAGAAATTTAGGTGGCTGATTCTTTTATACAGTGCAGACTACAACTTTATTAACTTTTTAACTATACATTTTATATTTGATAAAGTACTGTACTGTACCTTTCTCAAGGGTGAGCCTGGGATTTGAACCCATGACCCTCTGCTGTGGAGTCTTAACCATTCTCCACAATGGCCTCATTCTAGTGATGCATTGATTGGCAACCACAAAAATGATCATTTCAAGTCAAATCCTGCATGTCTCCTGGATTTTGGATATTGCTTTGTTGGGCTGACGGTTCTAAGCTCGTAATCTGAGGTAGCTGAACTCGGGGGAGGTGCTTTCTGTAGAGCTGTTGGGGGACAAGTAATAGATGTTTCATGGTCATTTTGTCTTGATATTTCCAGTGATATGGACATGGGACCTTGGTTCTGTCTCTGACAGAATTAATGGTAAAATAGCTTTCCTTATCTGACTTCATCCTTCGTTGACTCAAGTACAACAATGTTGGAAAACTGTGATTTTTGTGTTAAATGCATAAGGGAGCTTCATATTTTGATCACACTGTCAGGCTTCTCTAAACGAGGGGTGTGAAGTTAGCAAAAAGTGAAATGCTTTCTAAAGGACTATTGAATACAAAACAAAACTGTGTTAGGGGTAGGCCAAAGAGGGATTTATTTTACACTAAATGCGGTTGTTTTGTGCTGAAAAGAATTAAGTCGATTGAATTTAGTGTGCTGTAGATAGTGTGATAAAAAAGACCATTGGATCATGAAATTCAACTGTTTTTTCCTTGATGATGATCTTCCTTGTGGCAGATGCAGATCAAAGTAGGGGGATCACAGATTTATGGGTCTCACCTTTAACATCCCTACCTGAGTACAAGCCATAATTGGTTGTTTATTCAAGCATGGAATATAGTGTATATAGAAATTATATTAAAACCTGTTTAACGTGCAATGACCTGTAATACTGAAGAATGTATAAGCTAATAATTTACAGTTAGTTTTATTCCCCATATTACTATTTTTTTATTGCTTTATTAAGAAAAAATGTCTCCAAGCAGAATGAGAGGAAAGTAAAGTGGTGAGATGCAATTGTGTTGTACAGTACATATGAATTTATAGTGCTTTATCAGGCACTGTGTGTTACACTAATATGCTTCCCCTCCACGCTTCCTGGACATTAGCTGGCTATGCAGAGGCCTTTTTTTCCCCAGAGGGGACAAATATATTTAATGTTGGAAACCACAGTCTAAAGCAGTGGTTCTTAATCTTGTTGCTTGAGTACAGCTCATGGACCAAGACTAAGAACCATCAACCACCACAGTTGGTGTTTGTAACAGCTGCTGAGTGGTGCCAGTAACTGATTCACTTGCTGGTTTAGGCTTTTTTACTAATTCAGGTCTTGGTTATAAAAATACCCCAGTACAGTTGGTTGTTCTCAGTCCTGGTCCTAGGTAACCCCTGTAACCCCTGTACCCCAGCTGAGTGATTAATCACAGACTCATTTATTTTACTTTTCCATTTGGGAACAATGTTTCAGCTGTTAAAAAGCTGAATGAGATCTGTAACTGTTGCCATCCCCGTGCTAATGAGTGTTTCAGGACTGTCCTCATTCAGGTATGGAAGATGAATGATAATGAACCAGCAGAAGTAACACCACTCATTCCCACCTATATCTATCATCAGCTGTTCACCTGGTAAGGGCTGTTTGTTCAGAAATAAGGGAGGAAATTCTGTCTTGACACTGAGCATACAGTTGCTCAGGTTGCTGGAAATAATGCAATTTATTTATGATATTTTTTTTTAAATAAAAAACTAAGTAAACTGATAAGCAGATCAGTTACAGGAATCAATTAGCACTAGGGATTAAGGGCCTAGTAGGAACGGAAACAGTGGTACTCCAAGAGCAAGAATCTCAGATTTAAAGGATTCATGGCCACCATTTTAAAATAAATAGAAATATTGCAACCTGCTTTCATCTCTCCCTCTTCAAATCCCATGTCATTTATTTAATTGTACGTATTCTGGAGGTTGGTCTTGAATGATTTAACAATACGAATGAGTTTATTTCCAGGTGTCCTTGTTAACATGCCTCGTGACGTGAGGAAGAATGTGGAAGGATTGGAAGGGTTATTATTTTTTAATCTGGAAGGAAAATGATGGCAGTAGGCACAAAACCCACCTTCTCTAGTTTCGAAAAACTTCCAAGGTGCTAGAGGTTGGAGTGGTTATGTGTTATGTACAAAAACAAAACAAGCTCATGCTCATAAACAGTCAAGGGGGACACAAGATCTAAAAAAAAAAGAGAATCTAATAGTAGATTTTTCATATATACAGTATAGTTCTCATAAGAAACATCATTTGATGTTGTGCACACTTTATGGCATTTGAGATGGCCATTTTGCTTCAGAATGGTCAGAGCAGATGCAAGATGCACGCTGTAGAATCAGAAGTCTCTTTCGATTATTCTGTTTCTTACCGTTGTGAAAAACAGCTAACGGTCTGTCCAGCTGTATGATGGACTCCAGCATTGTTGGGGATCCTGTGTCCTGTTGTTTTTGGGAGTCACCCTCAGGCTGCTGGACTAAGCTCTGGCCCAATGAGCTTCTTGAGTCTGGATATTACTATCTGCTAACGGGTTTCCTCGATGAAAATGTCTCAGGTGGAATATTTTATCTTCATAGAGCTGGTGTCTTCGGAGACAATTTAGTCTTCTGCTAAATCCTGTCTCATTTTTGTTACCTTTTCCCTTTACATTCCTTACGTATTTTAATCTAATAACACATTCATTCCTTATGTAACTGATGAAGAATATGTAAAAAAAGATGTTAATTGGAATCAGGAATGCTCTGCTTTTTTATTGGCTTTTGCATAAACCACACTGTAATTCTTCCCCAGACTATCCTTCTATCCTTATATGGATTTTTTTCCCACATTCCCAAATTGTGTTTTCTATTGTCTGACTGTCGTGTGGGTTTACAGTGGGATTATTGGGCTTTATTTTTTAACCAAAACTAAAAATGTACTGTTTTTTTACAACGTAATCAGAGGGCTAATGAAAAAAGGAAACATTTAAGTGGATGGGAAAGTCAACATTGTAATTTAGCATTGCTGCTATGTATCATACAATATGTAACTGTTCTACGTGTGTGTGTGGTTGAGGTGTCTGTTGCTGTATGTTTAAATGGCTGTACCGTAAATGCATCACTATGAATGTACTGTAGGTTGTCTTTGTTTATACGAAGCATGGCGCATCTGTACTGGACTGAAATGCAACTCTTATTATGTAAATATGTACCAATATAAAGAGGCTATTTTTTGCATGCTTTTGTACACTAGATATACGGAGAAGACAATAAAGAGGTGTTCATAACCTACTGCTGCTATCAGGTGTGTTTCTTGCTTCTCTTTTCAATTTTAAATTGCAGATTTTCCATTCCTGTACCATCCCGGAGAGTAGGAGTTCCAAAGCAATGAAGGCAAAGTGGTTTGGTTGATGTTAGAATACTAATAATGGTAAATGAGTATTGACATGATATTTTTTTTTACATACAGCATCTACAGGATAAAATATGCATAGGTAGCTGCTGTTCAGAATCTCTTGCCATAGCACCTAGTTTTTGCATTGAGCACAAGGAGGTTAAGTGACCTATTATACAGTGTCACTGGCAACTCTGGGGCTTTAACCAGGGCTTTCTTCATCTTTCTCACTGGAACAGGTATTTTGTTTTAAAGAAAAGAAAAGAAAAGAAAAGAAAAGAAAAGGGGGCAGAGAGGTGGCTCTGTGGCTAAGGATCTGCGCCTGTGACTGGAAGGTTGCCGTTTCAAATCCCGCGGCCGGCAGAGGAATCCTACTCCGTTGGGCCCCTGAACAAGGCCCTTAACCCCAACTGCTCCAGGGGCGCCGTACAATGGCAGACCCTGCGCTCTGACCCCAAGCTTCTCTCCCTGTCTGTGTGTCTGTGTCTCCTTGGAGAAAAGCTGGGGTATGCGAAAAGACAAATTCCTAATGCAAGAAATTGTATAGGGCTAATTATAGAAACATTAACATTAGGTACAAAGTGCAGCTGAAGTGCACTTGACCTCTTATCTGTCCATTTGAAATACAGATTTCCAGTCTATAAAATAATTAAAACATCTGCACTTTATTTTACTTACTTCAGGTGAGGGCATCTTCCTAGAAAACACTTTCTACACCTGTCCCGAGCAATTGTTTAAGTCGTGATGCGACTCAAACGGGTAATATGAGACAGCAACCACAGTTTGCAATATAGCCTACTCCTCTCAAAGCACTCTTACTCTCAGTGTGCTGCAGGAGATGTCTTACCATCTCACCAAAATGTTCTTTAGTAGAGTAATAAGATGGTTGCCTCATAGTGAAATGGTTTAAGTTTATCCTTCACTTACACACTTTCTGCTTTTCAAATACAAAGCAAACGTCCATGGACTAAAAGACCTTTTCTCAATAAATGCCACTCACATACAGGTCTACACAAGTTTAACACTGCTTAATCTTCCCAGGTGAAGCTTCCTTTTCTCTGTTGTGAGCAACGTCTTTCTCCCTCCCGTCTGTCCTTTCTTGTACTTGAATATGAATCTCCAGCAATGTTGTTCACTGAGGCTTGATTACACTATCACCTTTCCTTCCTGAAACACACACGAAAGGTTTGTTAACACTGACTTCAGTAGCATTTATTAACCAACAATGATGTTTCTTAAGAAATTGTGGTTTCAAACTGCAGTTTTAAAAGCAAAAGGGTAGAAGATAGATCTCAGTCCTGTTCTGGAAACATTCTTCCAGTACACTTGTACCGCACACAAATCCAGAATCTTAAAACAGTCGAACCATTCAAAGAAATCCTATTATTATGTCAGCTGCATAACAGAGCATAATTGGTGTAAAATCCAGAACCGGGCCTGGGAACCCACGACAGTACACACTGTAGAAACCTCCTTAATAGAACTCAGAACCAGGTACATTCATTATGAGACAAGAGATGCTTAGATTTTGAGGTTACGCAGACAATTAGTCATTTACAAATTCAGCTTTGTGTTTTTAGAGAACTACCACTAGTTTCTTTTCGTATTAACATCGCACTTTTTTGTCACAGTGGGGGGTCTGTACCCAGCAATGAAAATTGCATACATTTTAGCCCAAGTTTGTTTTTTTCTTTTTCTGGTGGTCACTGAGAATTTATTTTGGAAGGAACGAGCAGTAATCATAGGATCTCTTAGTTACTAGAACAATCATGTGCGCGCAGAAGGATAATTAGGTTAAGCGTACTAATTAGGATTAGTCAACTCAATAGTCAACTCAAGTCAACTCAGTCAACTCAATAGTTCAGCTGAGATGAAGCACAATATAGAAAATATATTAGTTGCGTACAGTCCTAGAGGTATTGAAAAATACACTATGATTAATGGTAAATGAGATGTAAAGTTTCTAGTAATTCTCATTTGAGTGCATGTGAGATTCTGCAGACATATATTTATACATCAGAACTGAAAGCTATAAAAGGAAAAGTATTTTTTATTTGCCGATACAGTGCTGTAATGTGTTATGTGGCAATGCCTCATCCACGAGGCCTCACCAGTTAAGGGACAGGAGGTGTTGTGTTATCATAAACATGTGTGCAGAGAGTACCTTACTCGTCTTCCTTTTGCTTCTTGTCTGGATGCAATGTCTGGCCCTGAAAACAAGAAGCACGTCGTGATAAATACGAGGCTGTTCCCACAAGATAAAAGGTTGTGCAGGCATCAGATGGTGTGCAACGCTTCCACTCCGCTGTATTACAGAATTCACCAACCTGTGAAAGAACAGGCTGCAGTCTGCTTTTAGGTGAAAAAAAAATCACATCTGCTGGGCAAACCGCAACCCCTTCTCAGCACATGAAGGCCAAAACACAGTACCCAGCACTCAGAGCAAACCACAGCTCACACTGTGTGAGATGTGAAGCTTTCTGAAATCCGATCAACGCAAGGCTTATGTGTTTCAGAGTTCTGCTTTAAATTTAGCATTTAAAAGATCATTAGTTGTTCAAACAAACGAGTTCAGAAAAGTTCCGTGCGGAGGTGGTGGTGATTGACTGATACTGTAGTCCTGTGACTTCTGGGTTTCAGCCCGTTCCAAGCCACGCATTGCACGACCTCGCAACACCAAATTACAGTTTGAGAATCTACTTCTTGCTTATTTCTATCTTCAGAGCTCGTGGGTAGTATAGCTGTAGGTTAAAAATTGCCCTTAGATTTCTGAAAAGAGACATAAGTTCTGTCAGCACGAAACCGCGTTGCCATAGCAACCACTGCTCAGCGAACTCTGAAACGTCTCGGTGGTATTGCCTCGGCCGCGGCCTACAGGCTTGCACTGGGAGGAAAAAACAGGCTTTAGTATGGATAGCGTACATTAAACCTGCATATACATGTATAAAAAGTGCAGAAATGCATTTATGTTGAAAGACAGATGTTCACATACATTGTAAACATCAGCAAACATGACTGTTTCTTAGAAATATATATCCTTGAGGTTGATAAACCTAGGAAAATTATACATTCAACAAACTGATGTTGTGTTTTTCTTACTAGGTTGTAAAGGTTATTGGTTCATCTCTGATTAGGAATAGGTCTTATCTTAAATGACAATAAAATACATGATTACTGTACCTCTATCTGGAAAATGATGCCTATAGCCTGTTGCACAGTGCAGCAGTTGCTAAGGGTGGAGGTAGATGTGTAGGCTTAGAAACAGCAGCCCCATGGGGGCTTTGAAAAATATGAAATAGTTCCCTTTTGGTTTCAGAAACTAAACAAGCAGAACAAAGGGAAAAAGCCCAAAATGCTAAAACAAGGATCCTCTTTTGGTAATAAAATGTCTGGCAGTAAAAGAAAAGAACATTTCTATGTTTTTCATTTCTCTAATATTGAAAGACCTTACATGTTCCTCTATGCAGTTCAGTACTGTTCGTTCCCGACTACTGCTTCTGCCTTCTTAAAACGCACAAGTTTTTTTTTTATTTCAGCTTTAACCTGTTTTCTCTTTTAGTGGAAGGCTTATATGAAGACGCCAGAACCATGTACTCCGTAGGAAACACTACTAGCGCTCCTGCTATGTAAATAATTTGAATGTGTGCAACAGAAGTCATATCAAATAGAAGCCTACATTGGTTTGGTCACATTCTCTGCACCAAAGTTTATTACTATTTCTCTATCGCCACCTTGTGGAGAAAACAATCTCTGACAAAGAAGGGAAAAATACTACAGCCCTGAGAAATGTCCATGAGATTCTCCAGATAATATTTTTGACACAGGTCTTTCTAAAACATGAACATGACACCAGCTACCATTGTGCAGTACGTAAAGGATTTCCCTTCTGGCACAGCTAGTTTTTCTTCTAAAAGCTACTTACCTCTCCATGATCTATAGTGTATTTGAACTTCATGTTTTTGAAGAAATCTCTCTTTGGTAAAATGTAGAGAAGCATCAGGTCACATACTACCGTAGCCTGTAAGAAAACAGAATTGTTAAATTGTGTATTGCACAGAATTGTACAGCATTAGACATCAAACTCTGCTTTCAGAGTGTTTTTACACTCGTGAAAGAAAGGGTTACTGTAAGGATAAGGGATAACTGTATTTATTTCTGAAATGTACCAAGCAGGTAACTCACCACACCAAAAATGCCCACACCAGAGCCTATTGTTGTTAGTGTTGGAATGATATCAAATTTCCTGGCCTGAGGAAGGAAAAAAACAACTGGATCAGCCTCTAATTTGACCGAACGTTCTCATACTCAGCCTGTAGGCTGAGTTTAAGAGTTTACTGGCTATAAGGTTTTTTTTTCTCTGCTTTCCACAGATTTTTCCCTCTTTTGTAACCCTTGTGCTTTATTCTCAAAGCTTTCTTTCCTTTTTTCTGCAAACAAACAAAGCTGTTTTGAAAGCAGCTCGTAGGCAGGGCTCCAGGTACAGTACCAGTGTTCTTGAAAGAGCAAGTGAGCTTACCAAGCTTCGTACAATAATGTCAAACCGGATCCCAAACACCTTGGTAATTGTTCTTTTTTCACTCTTGTCTTCCATGTAATATTTAGCGTATCTAAAGACACAAAAAAAGAATAAAAAATTACTCAGAGGTCCATAAAGGTACAATAAAAACAAAGCAGGTGATTGCATCGGAAACTGTTCATTAAAAAACAGATTCTTCTGTGGTTTACTGTTGCAGACGGTTCTGTTTAAAGATGACAGCTAGATCAGAAAACAAACACCTCCCTATGTACACAGATCAGTTATATTCCAAGAGGAATGGTCTTCAGGTTTGTGTTTCTGCCTTTACAGAAAAGAGGTCATCTTTTGTTATGAGATGAGATACAGTATTGCATAAACAAAGAGTATGAGTGATGAAAAGCAAGGAAATCCACATCGCTTTGTGCCATGTTTCATACAATGTCAAAAAACAGTAATTATGACAGGCAAAAAGGCTGATGATTGATGGAAAATATTACATGGGATGTTTATATACCTATTTAAGTTGTCATTTCTCTTACAGACTAGATATTACTTGTATAGTTTATTTTTTAACAATATTGTGAAATATTATGACTGAATATTTCCAGATACAGATTACCATTGACAGTATTTCCTTTGGAACCCCATAAAATCACACAAAAGAAGAATCAGGCTGTCTGTGAACAGCTGCAGACAACGTGAATGTGCAAAGATTGCAAAAGAAAAGATATATCTTCCCTTACAAGTGTCCTTGGCCACACTGGCACATTTCTATTTATTGACTGGGAAGTGTGTTCTGTAGTCATGACATAGACTGGGTTAGAATCCAGGGATCTCCTTTTCAGATGCGCCAAGGTATGCAAGTTTCATTTACATTGCTTTTAGGTCCCTGTGCCTTGGTTTGCATACCTGAAATTATATCCTTTGGACACCTTTCCATTTCCATAGAGCCCATAGAAATGGTACAGTGGCCTGCAGTAACGCTCAGCCCAGTCAAGATTACAGGTCCACTCAATGAGAATTCCAATTGCCCCACCCTGCACAGAAAGAAAGAGTTGGAAGCTCATTTTAATTTATTGCTTGATTTAACCTGCATATCTGGTTTGTGCATTCTTAATATAAAAGGAAAAGGGATAACATTCCACCTGTTTCTGCCCTGGCTGCAATTTCATCTAAAATATAGTTTCTCTTTCTCTAAATATTCCTAAATTCCAAGTAGAGGATCTGAATAACCCAGGGCAAGATCACCAGATAAGACATGAGATGTTGCATGTAATTATTAAATATTTGGCTGGCAATTGTATCCAAAGCGACTTACATTTGTACACATTTACACAACTGCGTATTTCACTGAAGCAAGTGTACAACAGCAATGCCCCACCCAGGATCTAAACCCACATAAGCCCTAAATATGAGCAGAGTACATACAGTATTAGTGCTTTTGTAAAACACACAATAACTTGAGCAACATCTCCTACCTATGCAATAATATGCAGTTTATATTAGGCTTGAAACTTCCACTTATGCATCTTGTTTACTGGGGAATGGAACTGACACACCTGGCACCTGAGAGTGTCTGTAAGAGAGGGATTTGGTGTAGACTAATATAAGATACTGTAGATCCAAACTCTGTAATTAGTCATTCCAATCCTATTTCAATATGATTAGGTTGTTAAACTTAAAATTGCACTGTGCTGTGGTATAGTACTTCAGGAGGAGAAAAAAGAAATACAAATGTGTTCAATCTCATTCTGCCCCCAGAAGATTTCTTTCAGAATAGCATTGGAAATATACCATTGTTTTCTTTTTTTCTTCTTTTTCTTATAACCATTACGTCTCATAGTTTCTTTTAAGGAACTGTACACCCTGTAGCCCTAGACACCTTGGCTTTGCCTTGAAAACAGTGTTTTTTCCTTGTGGAGTTTTGCTTTCAAATTGTAAATGCAATTGGCCAATGGTAAACCAAATTGGTGTGGTGAAGAAAATTAAGAAAAAGCTAGTCGAGATGCATGGACAGAAAGACAATATTCCTTAGATGGCAGACATACCCCCTGAGCCAGCTCTTTAAAAGTAAAGCCTGACATCTCAACAATGTCTCCCAGTCGGAATATGGGGCACACAGGGTCTTTGGTCTTGTGGTAGGTGCAATTCGCAAGGTAGCTGGAGTCAACTTCTTCCACCAAATTGCTTCTGAAAGGCAGAGAGAGAAAGCAATAGGAAACTGTTGTCTCCCACGGAGAAGGCCTTGCTGTTGTGAACAATAAACCCCTAAAGACAATTTGTTTATCCAAACCTTTGTTTTGTACATACAGTACAAAGGCATGGAAGGCAGTAAAGGCTGAATTTTCCCAAATCTGTAGATTTACAAAGAAATGCCTTTTTGTCCAACTGTACAGAAGTGCCTACACATAAATATAAAAAAGGTCCAATGCACAAATATACTGATCTTTCTTATTATAAGCACTGCCAGCTTATTAATTTTGGTTACTTTATACAGTAGAATTATAAAAGGATTGTTATTAGTATTCAGTGAAACAACTTTTGAATACTAAAGGAATAATTTTTGCAGTGTATGCATTTATCTTCAGTAGCATTTTTTTTATCGTATGGTAGCTAAGTTCCCATTTTAAAGTTTTTCCATAGCCTCAAAAGGACAAAATTCAAGCGTTCACTCCTCTAGAATTTTTTTACTTAGAATGTATTCTCCCTTGTGAAAGTTTTCTTTGACCTGTACAGAGCTTAGGTCACATTCCAGAGCAAACAGATTATTCCCATATTTGGGGAAAACACAGTAAACAAAAATCACTTGGACAGAAACAGGAGGGAGATAAAATACAGTTCAACCTGCTTGCGTTCCTGTTGTTCTGCAGCTTTAATTCTTGATCTCTAACTTCACCATGGTTTTATCTTAAATTCCAGGGAACTTTCATTGCAATTTTAGGACCTTTTGTGTACAGCTCATAAGAGACACTACACATATGAAAAGTGAATGTTTTTTTCAGAACTGTTTAGAAAATATGTAGTCTTTTTCATTCAAGGCAAGTAGCTTGAGAGCCATCCAATTCAGTGGAAGAATACTGGAATATCAAGTGGGAACTGATGCCTTTCTGCACAGTACAGTACCTTATTACATCAAACACAGGGAAGGTGACAGAGTTTTTGATGAAGAGAGTGAAGTTTTCTGCTGACAGCAACAAGGGTGGACTGAAAAACAATGTATAAATGGTGATTAAAAATGCCTTTTTAAGAATCAGTGACTTATATTGTTTAAAACAATAATACTTCAATATATGATGGCTTACTCTGGAATATAGTGGTCATTTTCAACTGGACACCATGCAAATATTTCACAGGCATTGGTTGTCTGGTTACACCTTCCAGTCTTCTGCCCTGAGGATCATTTGAAAACAGACAGATAAATGTAGCCTTCACACTGTGACCGCCATGACAGAATACTTCTATGAGAATGCATCCAAAAGCTACATAACCCTTAAATGCCAACATTTAAGTCACATGACAACATGCTCCTGGAAGAGTCAATGCAATTTATTTTGGACTTTTTTTTTTTCAAAACAGAAATGAGGTGACTTTTCATCTTATATCTTATAAAGAAAGCTATTTAATTTAATGTCATTTTCACGCAGTTAGAATGAGATTGACTTTTTGCAGTTTTATGACAAGTGTGTGTGGTTGTGGTCAAACCCAGAACAATAGAGAAGGCATTAGCGGCTGATCTAGATTCTGCAAGCTAAAAAGCAGGTTGTGCAGTTGTGGTTGCAGTTTCAGTTTTTGTACTGTAAATCATGCCATTTTCCTTGTGCAGACCAGCAGCAAGCAATATATTGATTTGCATGTAGCATTGAGGATTTGATAGCAATTACATGGAAATTTAAACAGAAATAGTAAATATATACAGATTATATCAATGTGATGCCACAATGTCTCATGAAATAATAATACAGTACATACTATAGTTGTGTTAAAGTTTGCATGCCAAATTGTAACCGAATGTTATGGTACTTCATTATTATTTTCTTTTGTAATTACACCGCTTGGGTTATTGTTGTACTTTTTAATAGAATTGCTGAAATTAAATGTAGTAGCATCTACTGTATCTAGAGGTCATTGAGCACCTCAATATGTAGATCTTGAAGTTGCAAGTTTTACAGTATATGGTCTGTGTAAGTGTAATATGTGTTTTATTTTTGTTTTTATCCGCGTCATCTTTCTATCTAGGTGAAATGGGGCAAATTCCAATTTGGCAATAAAGCATTGAATCGATTTGAATCTAACAGGATTCAGATTCATAGGAATACAGAACCTGTGACACCCATCCTGCTGGGTATCCATCTTAACATTTTATTGTATCAATGTTGATTTTCTTTAAATAAATTTTACTTTTTAAAAATTGTCTGTAGTCTGTTTTTTAATTCTCTGAGAATAAATCCCATAACAGTTGTCAAGAGCCCCTGTGTGCGATTGAAGCTGTAGAATCATTTCAGCACAGAGCGCAATTAATCACAAAATTAGCTTCAGCAGCGTTTTGGATCTCCACTGTCGCACTGCAGTGGAGGACTGGAGACCGTTATTAATTTACCGTGTCCCGTACGTTTGTAATCTCCTTTTTGGCAGTCACTGTCAGACTTACACTTGTACATGTCATTAGGCTGAAAGATAAAAAAACACTTCACAGTAAAGTCAACAAATATTGATTTTGACACTGGATTGTGCACGCATGTTTGCTAGGATATGGTTAATTAAAGATGTCTCTTATGGAGCTTTTTTGCGTGGAATTATCCATATCCACGGAAAATCCTCATCATAATCTGGGAAAAAACAATAGAACTTGGTGTGGAGCTCCTAAAGTGAGATATGCCAAAGAAACAAATAAAAGAAAAATGGAAACTCTGAGAAGATGTATAAATGTTGCATGGAACATTTCAGGAAGTTAGGAAAGTTAAGAAATACTGTTCACATGATGACCCAGAGGAGTCATTTTTAGTAAAAAGTAAATATATGTTATATATGATTGAATAAATCAGAGTTAACAAGCCCAAATATTTTAGCATAGTTAGTATAGTTAGTTAGTTTGGATCTGCATATCAGAGAATAACAATTTAAATTAATATATGGTGCATTACCATTTCTTATTTGTATCTCCTGTCTAGCTTGTATTGATACATGTTGGATGAATTGTTCACATACATACTGTACAATTCCAACATGATCATTTTTTTGTAACACTACCTTATTAAATGAATAGTAACCAACATATTTAATAATTTCGCAGCCAACGAGAAAATTATACAAAGCACTAAGGATACTACGATGTGCTAACATACCTCTTCACAATAGCCCAGCTTCTGTCCAGCAGTCATGATAAAGTTAGTCATCACCACAAAGGAGCTTGACCCCTGTATGAGAGATGGAGAGAAGAGTAAAACAAGGAAGATACTGTAACAAATTATCATCATCATCATCAACACATTTGTTGTTTGCTTATTTAGGTAAAGACAGTTCTTTGAATGTTCATGATTCATAGCTTTTATGGTGTGTTGTAGCTTCCATACAGTATGACCACAATGCTGATACTGTATATCCCGAGATACATTCAAAACAGATGTTTTTGGTCGGTACTCAGTTCAGTTCTTTGGTCAAATTCCATTGCAGGCAGAGAAAGGGCGTTTCAACGGGGTAACTCACTTCGATGAGTAGAAAGACAACATCAATAAGATGTAACCCTCCCTCGTTAATGAAAGATGGGCCAGGGAGCTGTTGCAAGGGTAAAGATGTAGGGTGGGGAGTAAAGGGAGTGAGGGAGGCAGACGAGGGCGAGATGAGATGTTTTCCAATTCCATTAGTTGCATTTTTAATGCCTCTCAGTGTATATTCTTGTGGTCTGCAAGAGCTTCTTGTACTGTGCACTGTGCTGAAGAAAATTTTTATTTTCTTTGACAATATCCCAGAAACCTTTCACCAGCGATGCAGCAGTGGCACAAAGCACTTTTGAGCCTAGATTCCAACTATAACAAAACTGCAACTGCCTAGAAGAAGAGGTATGGGGTCAATGACCACGATGATGTCCTTCAGATTAGGAAATAGTTCCTTTTAAGTTGTGCATTGTCACTGGAGCAAAGACAGAATTTTGCATGAACAAGTCAGAAGTACAAAAACACCAAGAAATGCATAAAATGAATTACCATCCTGCACAGATGCAGAAAAAATAATTAAAGGTCAATTAAGGTTCTTCTTTTGAAGAGTTTGTAGGAAAAAAAGTACCTAAGACTCTCTTTTCATTACATTCCCCAGTAACGTAATTAATGTGCTTTATCAAAGAGTTACTTCATACTAATAGAGTCATAGGTCAATCAAGTCAGCTATACAAACAGGCAACACCTAACATTAGCTTAAGCAACAAAGTTTAGCAAAGACAGGATTTGCAATGCCTGAGCAAACATATTGTATGAGTGTCTTTGCCACTGCAGGTTGAAGAAACTGTCAGTCTAATATTCAGCCATTCTCTTGTGGATGAGCAGAAGCTGGGAGGAGTTCCCATTACCCTGGCTGACTCACGTGCTGTGGGAAGACGTAGTCCCCCACATCCCAGATCCGCTCGCCACTCTCGTTGGTGTAGGCGATTCCCTTCATCTTCGTGAAGACGGAGCTAAGAGCCGTGTCTGTGGATTGGTAGCCTTTTTCATAGATGAACACCCACCTGCAAACAGGAAACAGAAGCCGTTTTGCCCTGTAAAGCTCATTTTGTATGAACAAACCAGAAAAAAAAACTTTTATTTGAATAAAGTATGGCAGAGCACGGTCCACAATACAAGTTTGTAATATATTTGGAACCCCAGTTTCAAACCAGTTAAATACCCAGGTATTTAACTCCACTGAGCCCTTTAATGTGGCTCATTAAGGCTCTTGTGATGTAAGGAAGCACGTGCAGGTTTTAGGTCGACATGTAAGTCAATATTTCATTTCATAAGTCCTAGCTTGCCTGGGTATAATGCAGATTTAGTATAAAAATAATCTGTTTCATGTTGGCCACAGTTTTAGAGTACCTTTTTCAACTGGTTTACTGGATCAGAGTGGATCCAAGTAAATGGTAATTTCTTACCAAAACGTAAAATGTCTGGGAAACAAGGCCTCCCTTTTGACAAGGCAGTTTACCAGGACCATCAAAGACGTACCTGAACTTATTTCATTTCTGGGCACATCACCAGAAGCAGTCACCTCTAATGATAAGACCTACAGCCATGCTGACAGTTACAAATGATGTGTGCACTTCCTCAGACTTACCGTAGGAATGAGTTAGGAATGTCCACAACATATAACAGAAATTACTGCAGCTGGTAACAGCAGACAAAGCCGACTGTCCAATTTCTTCTTGCTAGCTAAAACCGAGACTTTGGGATGACTGACAAATCTAAACCACATCCCAACTCTTTTCTGGCAGGTGCAATTTATAATCTGAGACTCCCCAGTTCCCAAGAAACCTGCAACTGAGTTATCCTTTAAATTTATTAAGCACTTCCTACAAATCTAAATATACCATAGTATGTGCTCAACTCATACATACTACATATGCAGTGAAGTATATTAAGCAGCTGTTAATAATAAAGATAATTATAAACAAATGATATATGATATATATATAATTAAATTAAAACTATCTTGCTTTGGTAGTAATTGCTTTCAGGTTTCTGTTTGAGAGCAGAAATGCATGGAGTAAGTAAGAGTTGTGAACCCAAGCACCTTATCTTTTTACCAAAGTTTTTTTGAACACATTACTTAGTTTGACCTCCTGCTGTTTGTAATATTTTTTCATGTTCTTTTTCTTTTGTAGTTTTCCTGTGTAAATATGAACAAAACAAAGTTTGAAAGAACATCTCTCACTTTGGTTTCTTCTCAAGTATCAGAGAAAGTATTTTCTAAAGAATGTTCAGCATATCGACACCCACACACCTAGTGGTTTTTGTATAGGGCATTTAAAAACGCTCATTTAAACTAACCACAAGTGTTACACACACGAGTATGTGAATTAATTAATCCCCTTCTTGTTAGAAGGGAAGTTAAGGTTCTGCATAAAGCACTGCCTGTCCTTAGGATAGTGGTACAGTACTGTAATGGAGACATTTTGTAACTTGGATTGCACCTGAAAAAAGTACTCAGTTACTATTCTGTGCAACCCACAGAACAGAGAATACATGGCACATTATTTTCTCTAAATACGTTAAGTTTGTCGAAATGCCTAAGCAACTTCTTTAGTTGCTCAAATAAGTTTAACAGTTTAAAAATATGTTGACAAATGAAACTCAGTGGATTGTGAAATTGATAGTATCAGCTTGCATATAACTAAAGTTTATAACCACCAAAATAACCACCAAAATCCTGTACCAAACTAAATATTTCTGGTTTGCCCACTAAAACAAAAGTTATTTTGTGCTGTTTTTTAGTTCTTTACATACACGTCTGTAAGATAGGTCTTGATGACCGGAACCAATGTGTTTTATACTTCATTACATTTGGCAAAATCTATATTAAAAAAAAAATCCAAAGTGATTTTCCATTACTGGGCTTCCTGTGCTGTGAAATAATTATAAAACAAGCTGTCAAAAGTGTGGTATTTCACCAAAAATACTGAGATACAGTCCCTTTCCTTTTTGGCAGCTGCAGTTGTTAACAAAAAACGAGTGAAGACTTGCTGGTGAATCTCTTAGAACTACATTTTCTCAGGAAATGATACAAATATCTAAGATCTATAAGAGGAGGCCAGTGTAGCGATTAAATTGTGTCAGTAAAGGGTTGTGCAGCAGTTTGCACGCAACACACACCATCGTTTATCCTGTACAATGTCGGCACACGTCCACAACAAGCAGCAAATCAGTTTATGAACATGGAATTAGAACATAAATCAATTTCAACCTGTCAACAAATGGCAGGAAAAGGATACCCTGATCATTGCAGGTCCTGATTTCTATGATGCTTGAAATAGGAAAATTACAATATTCTCTACCTTTGCATTGTCATGTCCCTTTAGGGGTCTGATCTTCAACACAAAATCAGATTTTCAGGTAACTCTCAGTCCTCGATAATTAACTCAACAGTTCTAAGGTGATATACGGTGCTTTATAATGCCTCAGCACTCTATTCACATAAAATACTTTTTAAATAAAAATAGATTTTTGTCATGCTAAATTTAAAAAAAAAGTTTTTGGGACAAATATCAGGAGATTTAATCTAAATGAAGGGGACATTTTGCACCCCATTCTAATGCAGAAGCATGTACCTGTAAAATCTGTATTCTTATGTAGAGGATCTGCACTGACAGCAGTCTGTGGCTGTAAACCTGTATAGTAGTTTGATTTGTAATGGTCACAAGCTTCATCTTCATGGCTAAAATGGGGACTCCCCTGTAACCGCAAGGGAAGGTTTCTTCAGTCAGAAACTCTGAAAGTTAAAGTTCTGTAGAAAGACGTTTTGTTGTTTATTATCATAAGACTTCTTAATGGGGTTTAAAGGAATGTATCAATATGTAGCCAACTGAAACACTATTTCACATTCCAATTGATCTGCACTGGGTTATACTGGTTTCATATATGTTTATATATGGTTTTATATTTGACAAGAAAAACTTTATTGTCCCATAGGGGAAACATTTTATAGACACGCATTGTTTCTGTGCATTTAAATACATCACAAAACACTACACATCCCATCTATTGCTCATATGTAACTCAGTAGAAAATTCATTGTATTACATATACTGTACATACTGTAACGTTTTACAGCATAAACAGTACTGACCCAATTGCATTTACCCTTGTCATTTATTTCTATTACAGTAACTGCTTTAATGGATTTGATTATTTTGACTGTGTTATAATATTATGAATATTTAAAAGAAATGGTGATTTGTATCTATTTGATCCACATTTATTAACACTGAGAATTTATACTTTGTGATTAAGGGACAATAATGGGCAATGGCAATTGAGTAAAACTATCCTGATACAGGTACAGTATGTGTAATTGTAAATAGCAGTCTGTGCCTGCCCTGTGATGGACTGGTGTCCTGTCCAGGGTGGATCCTGCCTTGTGTCTGTTGCTTGCCAGGAAGAGCTCCGGCTCTTCTGTGACCCTGAATTGGATGAAGCAGTTCAAAAATGGATAGATATGTTTTTCTTTAACTTGATTTGTGTAGGCCGTTATCTACATGGGCATTTCATTCTACAGAATAATGTTATGAGCTCAAGTAACAGCTTACAAACGGAGAAAAACCAAATGAACTTTTTTATCCAACCAACAACAAGGAGCAAGTGAAGTTTTTATGCAGAATAAATCTGAACTCGATGCAGTCACTGCATTAGCCTGTGTTTTCATTTACACTCAGGTTATTAAGAACTTTTAAGATAAATGTAAGCATATTGCTGCAACCAAGAAAAAGAAAAAAATCATGAACATTATCCAGTAATTATGAGGTCTCATAAGACAGGTACAATGGACCCCTCTCCCTGCAGCAAGGCTTTGACTGCATGAGCAGCAGCAGCCCTCCCTGCTTCCACTGTCCCACCCCTAGGGAGCTCCATAGAAATACTATCAAGTAGTATTTGAGTAGTAGTTAGTTGGGAAGCCAGGAGAGCGAATTCAGGTGCAGCACCTGCAACTTGTAACTTCAGACCAGGCAGCCAGATCTATTTTAACCAGATAAGAGCCACCACCCAGTAAGAGTGAAAGTATTATATTAAAACAGTAAAAATTTAATTTCAGCGTAAACCTATTAAACTCCCCCCTCATAGAAAGTACTCAAATACTGTACACATCCAAGAATAAACAGCCTCTGAAGTCAGGTTGTAAAAACTCATTTATATTTTCTTTGTAAAACAGCCCATCTTTGCTATTTGCACCTTCAGCAATAGCTTTCACCATAGATGGTAGACTCAAAAATACATTTTCCGGGCATGACCAGCTCTGTGTGTATGAGCGAGTTGGTGAGATGATTAATGTTGTAATACAGCACAGTGAGGGAAATTCCATCAGACTGAAATAAAAATAAATTGGGGAGGGAGGCTTGTTCTTGTTGTGATTTTCAGTGGTCTGTGCTAGTCCCCCATTGCATGAGCTCTTATATTGCTAGGGAGCTCTGTTCTCTCCTTGATGTATCCAGTATCCAATGTCTTCTTTTGATCAATATTGGGACAGCTCTGAAAGATGGGACGCCTCATGAAAAAGTTTAGACTTAAAACTTCTTCTTGAACGTCGAACAAATTAATATTGCTCAGTAATTTTTTCCTGTTTTGAGACAACCACTGCTTTGCCGTTTCTGTGCCCTGTTTGCAACACGACTAATTGATTCAACTTGCCTTGCGCGTGACGGCGCTCTTGAAAAAGGCCCTAAGTTTTCACACACAGCTCTTTCTGTAAATCTGGATGACTTCTGAAGCTGTGAGAGCAGCCCCCATGCCACCCACCTGCCCGAAAAGGAACGCCGCCTTACCCGATGATGTAAACCAGGACGCACAACTGGATCAGCCGGCACACGACTCCAATCCTCCTGTCCTTGACCAGAACCTGGCGAGGGGTCTCGTACTCGAAGAAGAAGTCAGAGAGGGCTTGGCTCAGGTACGTCTTCATCGCCGGAGCTAGCCTGGTCCCTCGGTCCCCGAGCAACACACACACACACAGGCACACACACTCTCTTCCTTCCCTCTCTCAGCCAGCCACCACACGATGACTCTGAAATAATGCTGCTCACATGTAGTGACCAATTGCCTTCTCCACTGTTAAGTTGGGTGGAGTTTATGGATGTATGTAACACTATCTCCTGTTTAAATACCTTAGAGCAAACATTTCAACATCTGTCAGACAAGAAAGACACCTCAACTTCAGCTTCTGTTTGCTGTTCTTTTTTTAAAAGAAAAACGTAGAGTACTGTGGTCAGAATGTTTGTTTGATAAGTAAGAGCTGTCTTCCTGTATGATACAGATTCAAGCCATGCAAGAGTATTTTAAAACATGTTTTTAAGTATATGTCCTTGTGTCTGCTTCATTCCTTCGTCTTTCTAGTATTTATTTTTAGACAGCATTGACAGTAAATAAAGTCATACAACTTTGCTGAAATAAAATTCTGTCGGTTAAGTGTTGTTTGCTCATTGATGCACCTTCAGAGGTGAAAGAGAAAGCGATTAGATAGTATCTTTGATGAGTCACTTGAAAACACGAACCAGAATGTGTCTAAGATACAGATACAGCTTTTCAAAGAACCTTATTTCTTACACATTAAAAACAAGGACACATTCAGCACCAAGAAGTTAGGTGGAGAAAATGCTATGCAACAGCAAACATCAGTAACAAAAGCAGTTCCTATGAATAAAGGTGTAATTCAAAGAACTCTGACATAGATTAGAATTAAAAGGAAGTGAATTGAGGATGAATAATATTCCACAAGGTTTGAGATCGTATGCATCAGATGTGAATATATTAAGGTTACTGTATATCCTTATTACAATGCTTTAGAATGCATTTAACTATGAATGGAAAAGGAACAAGCTCGGCTCTGTTAGATTTGAAACACTAGTGTTTGTGATGCTTTGAATTCAATAGCCACAGCTGTATCCTCTTTATTTGCAGCCAAAGAAATTGGAATGTGGTGTTTTATTTTGTAAGTTGTTTTCTTTTACATTTATTTCAAGTTATATGTCTAACTAGAACAGCACTACACTTCTGTGGATGTTTTGTATGTTTTGTGTTTTGCTATGTTCGGGGGAAAAAAAAAAGAATGAGCTATTTTGAAATTCCATCAAATGCAAGTACAAACATCTCCAAATGGCTAAAGTATGTTTCCCTATCATTTCTACCAATACCATAATTTCCGTGGAATTCAAGTGTTATCTCTGAAGGGGTTTGGGTCCTGTCTTTACATGTCAAATTGCCCAAAGTAACTGCAGAGAAAGGTAACAAAACACTCTGAACCTTCGACAATAAATGAAGTCCATTTCACTCTGATATTCAACAAATAATGCGGCCACTCTTAAACAGGGAGAAAAACAGACTTGAGACAAATAATGGCCAATGAAATCCTGAAACATTACTAAAGGCATCAAAACACAGCAAGCCTGCACAATGGAAGAACAATGTTTATTTTGCATATAACTGTTTACCAATATTAGTGTACTTGGTGAAACCTGAAAAATGACCTCTCTTTTTCTCCTCCTTTCCTGTGGTGGTGACTTTGCTGAGACAATTTAAAAAGCAGCGGACAGCTCCAGGGGTCCGGACAGCAGACCATACAGACTGAAACCACATGGTAGAGAGGAATGCAATGTAAATTTACTTCGCTCTTGTCACATTTGAAAGTTGGAGACTGTCAAACGGCTGTGCATTGGCAGGTATCCTGTTAGTATTCACAACCGGATCCGTTGCAGCTTCAATACAAACACAAGAGCGTCTCTCATCAGCTGTGCTGTGGAAAAGTAAACTAATTCACAGTCACACAGGCCTGTTCTTCTTTCTCCTGTTTGATTACGGTATACATTCGATAACGGAACACGTTGTGTTAAACCTAAAGAATGGGAATAGAAAATCAGCGTTCTTTACATGAGGAAGCTGAAACTGTTACCTCTCCACACTACACAGTGGGAAAAACAGAACTGCAGAGCTGCTTTTGGTCACAGAAAGTTAAAGAAGCAACACAGGACAAACAATACTACTAATTACATGAGGTCATTTTCACTTTCTTTTCAATTGTTTTCATGTCCTGCCTGTCAATAAATTGGTGTCTTGCTTTTGTTCTACCACTTCAAGAATCCAGCAAACAAAAAGCCCATTTAAACTAGAATGATTGATAAAACAGGGTCATTCTCAATGTTAACATAGTTGAACCTGCTTCTATTCAAGCCAAAATACTAACTTCAAAATCCTCTTCCTTTAAAAGATCCCTAAAGCTTGGGAAATGAAAACCCTAAAACAGCAAAGAGAACAGGGAATATCTCATTAGATTTAGGCAGGAATACTTTACTTTAGTCACAATTTTGTTATTCACTCAGGTATGTATAGTGTTCGAAATTGGCAATCTTGATTAGAAATCATTTGTGGCACCACTTTTTCACCTACTGTATGTATGTTCACATGTATATTGTATGTGTTCATGTACTGTATGTAATGTATGTTGTGTTTTCATGTATACACAGTATTTGCATGTGATAGTATGTTACATGTGTTCATATGTGTATGTGTATGTTCACACCATCTGTACATGTGTGATGTTCATGTACAGTATGTTTTCAGTCATTCCAGACACCCCTCCTCCAGGATGAAAACAATAAAAAGATTTTGCTGTACAGTATGATAGCTTACATCTGTTCATTTTATTTCAAAGATAAAAGTAAGTATTTCCCATATGTCTACATTAAGGTTAACCTTATTGCAAGGTTCTTTTATTACATTCTGAGAACAAACATGTCTTTAGATTAATTTTGGCAATTTAGGCTCAAGCATTTTAACAAGAAGTTTCCTCTCAGTTGTTTCTGTACATACCCAATAAAGCACCATTCCTGAATAAATAAGATAAATAATCTTTATTTTTTAAATGTATTTTTAGAAAATATCTGTGTCCAACAGATAATATTAACAAGGCAATACAGACAAACCCCAATTTTATTTCTCAGCTGTTAGAAACAGTCTCCAAAAATGACCTGATTTCACCTGTTGACAATGCTGGTGAAGGTTATCATCAGTAACTGTGTGAAACTGATGCTTTCAATGATTTCTCTCCTGAAGGAAATGAAGAACAGACAAGGCAGGAGAGCAAGGCAAAACGCAGATTGCTTCAGTAATATGTACAGTATAGTAGTATAAATGGGTACAAATATAAGTAACTTGTGGATGAAAGCATCAGACACATACATTAATAACAATAACAGGTGGTTTTAAAATAGTCATATTGTTTTAACATAATAAAGGTGTGGTTTAGGCCACTTTCAGAAGAACTGATCAATTTTACATTGCTAATTTCTTTCCACGAGAATGCAGCTGTTTAATTTTCAGATGTTAAAGTAAATATTTGGTGCATGCTTAGGGGTAGGGTTTAACTCTTTGAAGTGTCGATGAGAAGATGAGATTTTTCAAATATTTTTCAGTAGCCTCATACATTTCATATTCATCGAGAAGTTACTGACAAGGACAAAGCCAGCTCTTACACAGGCATGGGGAATTTTAAGGGGGGGGGACTGATGCAGATCTCCTGGGATAACTCAAGGAAATTACAAGACACTATCCTTGGAACAATAAGCATCAAGCAACCAAGATGAGCAGAACAGACTTCTCTCATGTTACTGTTAAGTTATATTCTCAAAGAAGTGGGAAAGCTTATCCTGAAAGACCTGCCTTCTTTTTACAGTGGGGGTGATTCAGTCACATATCCCCCAAAAAGTGTGATCTACCCCAAACCCAATGTGAACAACCAGCAAGAAACTTGACGGAGGGACAAAAACAACTGGACAGGAACAGGTCTGTTTTTGGCAGGACTGCCATGGCATTGTGAAGTGCAAAAAGCCTGGTTATGGATGAATACATACTGTACCGTATACTGCCTCAATATGTAATACAGATGGGCCAGAGATTTCGCATCAGAAAAAGCTATGTAAGTGAGTGTTTTATAGAATTACCATAATACTCATTACATAGTTAATCCAGTAGCCTCAGAAGCAGTATGTAGTCCATTAGAGAGTTCACCTTTGTTGTTTTGCACCAGTTACTAAATGCCACTGATAAATAGCCAGTTTTAAAGCAGTTTTAAGTTACACTCCTTTGTAACCTTTCTGAAATTCACTCCTCGTTTCATTGAAACAGCACACTTAGGTCAAATCAGGTCAACTTAAGAGGCAGTTCACAACACTGAAACCTTCAATGAGCAACCTAAATCAACTTCATATCACACGATTCCTCCCTTCACACTCTCTGTGTAAACCAGACACCTAAATAAACGCAACGTTCTCCTTGCAAATCAAATTATCATCATCGTCGTCATTATTATTATCATTATCATTTGGAATATTATTTTACACATATTTCTCCCCCTGAAATAAAAGCCACAAGACCCCCAACAACTGTAAAAACAAACAATAACAAGGAAATAATTAACCCTTCTAGCCTACAAGTGAAATTCCTAGATGCCATGCGCTCGAAGAAAAATAAGACTCTCAGCGGTTTAACTCAGTTCTCTCGTCGTTTTTTTCATGTTGTTAAAGTAGATATTAAAAAATTAAATACAATATACTGTATAGGTTATTAATTACAGTAACAATGTTCCATGCAATCTTTTTTCTGTACAGAGTTCAGAAGTTCAGTAGTAAATAACAAGGCTATACAATCCCACATTGCAGGGCGGTACACAATATCATTCAGCTGTGGTACAAGAACACAAAAGGTAAAGTTCCATCCTTTCCACTGGATTATACCACTTTATTAGATTCAACAGAATTCAAAATATTATCCTGAAACTCAACTGCAAATCACGACCTTTTTTCACTAATGCCCACAAGCGATTCTATTTTACAGAGTTATTTAAATTACATCCTGGAAATTTACATGTACTGTAGCACGGGTTTTCTAATGCACTGATTTAAAGACAATAATGGAGTCCAATAGGACAGTTACCATGTGGTCACAGTAGCCCTTAGGGCTCCACTAAAATCTTTAAGGATGTTTATCTTGCACTACTGCCACGGTCTGCCCCTTCCTAACACAGTGGCAAAAACTGGAAAATAAGGCCCAAGCTAATACAACAAAAACCAAAGATGGACTTTCAGGCCATACTCAGTCAAAAATGAGCTTTTAACAACTGCTACGGCCATTCTACAGCAAAGCGTTGTGTAAGGGTCATTTCACAATCTTAAACAGAAGGAGCAGGCGAAAGGAAACAATTTTATCTTGCCTTACATAAACTGCACGGGAAATGTGTTGGCAGGCACAAACAAAATAACGGAAGAGAGGGGTTTTTGATAATCTTATAATCCGGATTGTGTGAAGAGTATTTAAAAATAAGCACTGGGGTGGTGTGGTGTCTTGCATTTAGGACACCAACTGAAAGAGGGGGGTTTCAGTCAGTGTGAGTTGGGAATAAACTGGAGGTCTGTAAACATTTTAAGTTTAATGACCTGTAGTTGACCATATTTGTCACTTTCTCAGCAGGCCTCAGGAGACCTACACTAGTTAGCAAGGAGTTTGCTCTAGAATGGCCTCTGACCCAGTAATATGAGAACTACAGACTGAAAACTGGGTTCAGAAAATGCTTGTTAAAGCACAGGTTTTCAGGTCAGGTTTTGTAGGTCTTTTGTTCTTCTTGTTCACATCCTTGCCAATTAATCCGGTTGTATTTCCTGCAGCATTGTTACTTTCTCTCTGCTCTGAAGGAATATTTTTTAACCCAAAGCATGTTAGAAGGGTCCTTCTAAGACTGATAGCATTCCCCGCTGAGTAGTGTTTTATAAATCGGATGCAAGAAGGACATTTAGATGGCAGCTTGTTCAAAAGTGTTCTCAACAGTTTAGAAATATCAACTCAGTACTTGATCTGAATCATTTCTGCAGAGTCAATACCTAGTAAACTAGGATTCAATTGCTTGGCAAAATTATTGTGTACTCACTCTTATCCAGGCTGGGAGACACCTACTGCAGTAATCACCAGTCCTTTTTTGATACCTGCAGCAATTGGCAACTTACATTTGAACTGGGCATTCCAGGTTATAGAGAAACTGGAGGAAGCGCTAAAATACATTTCATTTTAAAAATATAATAAATATATATATATTTTACACATTCTTTTGAAATTAAAAGTCAATAAAGCCTTGAAAGACAAGGAACTTAATTTGATATTCCTATTGCAAAAACATTTCAAGATAATTGTATCTTTGGGTTTATGAAAGTATTTTTTAAATATTCAAATTTCATCTTGGTTTAAAAGGCTGGTGGGGGTGGGGTGGGGGGGGGCAGAACAGATAGCTACAACTTAAAATGAACTGCCTGCTGTTTAGCTGGATTATAGACAGTATGGAAAACATCTCCTTTTCAAAATGGAAGAGTGTAAACTTCAAACTGGAGGAAATGTGAAATTTCGAGAGGATCCAGACAGACACCAGGTGAGAAGAAACAAGAAGGTCTCCTAGCAGACACTACGAGTGAGAAGAGTACTAAATTCTCTTGTGGCCAAGATTGCCAGATGTGTGCAGAGGTGATAGAACTAGGTGATAGCATCCGACTGAGACATTATAAGAGCATACGGTTCAACCATGGACTGTTCTTCATGTGGCCACATCCCTGGAGCCAGAAATCGTTAACCGGTTCGCTTTTCACTAAAGCCAGTGGATTGTGAAACAGTTTTAATCCCTTTTTTTCTCTGACGATGAAAACATAACTGGAGAACCGAGGTCCCACGCACCTGCCACTGCAGACCCAGATGTAAAAAGGTCCCGTTCTGTGGCCGACCCAGAAATAATCCAGCTCTCCATGGTCCAGTCTCAGCTCCTCCCCTGCCCAGCCCGCTTTCTTCAAACTGGACTCTTCCCAGCAGCAGTGGATCAATCCGATGGATCCTCAGCGGCCCCTCTGCTGAAATCACCCCCACCCTCTTCCTCCTCCCCATGCCCTTCCCCTTCCCAATCTTTGCTCCAGTTATTGCACTAGTATGTACAGAAAAAAAAAAGCTATGAAAGTCATCAGTATGTTTCTGCAGTTTGTCCGCGTTCTTCTTACACATGCAAGTCCTGCTGGCTGATAGTGGTGGTTGAACATGCAAGACTTGGTGTACTTAGGGCCAGGGTTCAAAGGGTTAGAATTTCAGCTGCCTTCTTCTCATGTATTTCTTCTCCTCTTCTCCTGTGGAAATGAAAAAGAAAATGCAGAGGAGTTAAGTTCTGGACCGCCTGACCTGGACAGGTCCAGAGAATTAAACGGCAAGCTTTGCCTTTTCTCCAGAGTGCCTTTTTCTGTCTTTGGTTGACACTTTCAGTACTTTTAATCAGCCACACCCTGCATTCAGCAAGCATGCTAAATAAACCTTACCTTTCGTGGATTTAGTTTTCCTTTGAAAACAAACCTTGTTTGCCATTATTCATAAAACTGTAGCAGCTGCCTGACTTTTTAGACAGAAACACATTAAACAACAAAAACAATATAACAGTTAATGTCATCTGCAATTCTTGTGATGCTGTTCTTTCACCTGTGTATGGTTATGATCTGTTAGAAAAGACTTAGTCTTCGAGTCACATTCAGCATGAGTGGTGCTAATAAAATGACTGTGCTGGAAAAGCAGCTCATGCAGTCACCAGTTCATGACTGCTTTCAGGGCCAGATGTACTAAAAGACTATACCTGCTTTAAGAGTGGCCAACATATTAGGTTGGAAGTGCTGGGTGATATACACTAAACAAGCATAATAATCTGGGAGCTTTCATACAGTTTGCGAAGGTCATTTGTCTGAACCGGTTAGACCATTAATTTAAATTTGGGCGTTCCTGTAGAAACCACAAAAAAGAGGTGTTTGTGCCAAAGAGATTTCTCAAATCTTAAATAAGATGTGCTAAACCTGCAAGGAATTACAACACTTAAAATTACTCCAGACTGTTAGAGATTTTGAAAAGTGCGTCTTAAAAGCAGTCACAAAGACAAACCATTACAAACCACAATGCCAGTCCCTAAGCACACACTGCAGCAAGAATGACCCATCACTTTTAGCAACAAGGAGTGAAATGTAGAATGATGGGAAAAAATACTCTTCCCCTATGTGACGGTCAAATTAGATTAATACATTACCTACAGTAATTCATTAAATAAAAACCCAAAGTTATAACAGGCACTCTGTCTATGAAAAGCCTTTCAAATATGAAAGATTTAAATTAACTAAATTCTATGCTGCCATCACATCCTTAAAATCATGTAGGCTACACAGTCAAACTTAATTACAAATAGCTTAGGCAAGTCCCACAGGTTAATTCACAATTATTTTACTCTTAAGTAGAGCTTTAACCAGCTGAGAAATGTCCAACTTATCAGAAAAACTGACCTTTCTTGCACACAGTGGACATTGTGCCACACATTGATACTAGAGTTTTTCTCGTAGGACAGAACGTTTATCTTGTAAAATGTCGCAACACAACTGCAGTTTGCATGTACTGTATGTGCTGTGAGTGGCATTTCGTAGTACATCTGGCCCTATGTCTTTGAGCAGCCCCTGCATTAAATGGTCAAAAATGTATGAACTTAATTACTGATATTGCAGGCAATTAATAAAATGGAAATTACAGCAGCAATAGGTCCCTCAATTGGCCATTGACCAAACCAAAACAGATGAAACTTCTTTCAAGTGACTGTGATAGAATCTTGGCATGAAATAAGTGAGCCAGAAAAAAAACACCTAATGATTGTTTCAACAACGACTGCAATGAATAACATGTCCAGCAGTTTCAAAATGATTTAGAATTATCCTGTGTCTCCTGCACACAATCCTCTTTTATCTCCTGTTGGACATCTTTTCCCATTGCAAGGAGATCCCAGAAAAGGAATTCACTTTGGAAGGAGTTGGAATTTCTTTTTGGCAAAAAAGCAGATTCTCCTGAATGAGTATCAGAAGAGTACAGTAGTCCCATGCTGTATGGATGACAGGGTGAGAGACAGAGGGCAGAAATGTACCTTCTCCTGAAGACTAAGAGGAGAATGTTAGGCTGCAGGGGGAAGAAATAGAAAGCATGTTGACTTTGGTTTTCCAAGGGTCTCAGTCGTGCCACGGAGTTCTGTTCGTTGCGACGGAGATGTTTGCTTTGTGGGTGTTGTCCTGTAGATCTTCATTCTGTGTGCTCATGACACTGCAGTGCGTCTTTGGAAATCTTTTGTACACAGTGCAGTACCTTCCCCTCGAGGTATGTGTGAATTTCACCCCCCCCCCTCAGTACCAGGACACAGATACTCCTCTAGTGTTAAAACTGAAGTGGCATCAAGTATTTCAAAAAGTAATGTGCACCTTTTCAGACTTGAAATGCCCACTTTCAAGTGTTCATTATTATTTCTCTAACCACTGACCTAATACTATGGCTGCATACAACAACAGAGACACAATGCCTTCTTTGATGATCACCCTTGTTCCTATGTAGTTATTATTCCCCCCAAACCTCTATAAATACCCTTTGGTACGAGAATGTCATTGAGACCTTTAACTAAAAGTATTTACTATAAATTTATCAAAAAGAGCTGCTTTTGAGACTCACAGTACACCTGTCTCAGGAGCACTGGCCATTTGAAGACTTCATAAAGGGTTCTGAATTGAGAATTAGCTACAGTTTTAGGAAATTCTGTACTTTATCGTTGGAGGTTTATTGTGCATTCTGCCTTTTAGCATCAATTAACCCATATTTTATATTTTCCCCACTACTGCTACATAGCTCTCAGGTCTCACTGTAATCACAGGTCATTGAAGGTATTAATTTGTTTTGCTGGCACAGCACTCCAGATGCAGAGGAAGGTGACATGTCAAGCTGACTCCCATTCCTTATCCCATAATAAACTCAATCGGATCACATACCTTCCAGGTAGTGGCGGGAAAAGTACTTGAGAGTTTCGTCCAATAGGATGACAGGAATCGAGATCTTCAGGACCACCACCCACTGAGACCACCGCAAAGGTGTCACCTGGAATATCAGCTGAGAGGGAGGGAAGGGGTGGGGAATTACAGGGCAGAAACCAAAGAGGTGCTTGTGTTCCTGTAGGTTTTTCATGGCCTCAAAAAACAGGACTGTAACAGCAGTTACAATGAACTGCAGCTATCCTCTGGAATGACAGGAGCAAAACATTCCATAAGTGCAATGCTACAGTACCTCATTTTTTCTCTTAAATACCACTTTGCTGTATGTCTCTATGCAGGAGTTCAACAGCATGTTACGTTCTTTCTGGTTTTCAGATTATATCTTGCATAGGCAATCCATTCATGACAAAATGACATTTTCACTTAGAATGTTATATAAAGAATAGGCTGTGATGGACTGGTGTCCCGTGCAGGGTGCACCCTGCCTCCTGCTCACTGCTTGCCGGTACCCTGAATTGGATGTAGCAGTTACAAAATGGATGGATTTGATCAAATTAAGGGGTTTGAGCCTAAAACAAGGCAGAACACTGTTAAGACTGCGCTTGTCTGCAATGAATGGGCAGCGCAGGACTGCTGCACTTACCGGCAGGGGCTCCACGTACAGGATGAGGAAGTGCAGAGACATCGACAAGACAATGGCCCCCAAAAGCCAGATGTTCACCCAGGGAGGCATCCTCAGCAAGGACTGGTTCTCAGACAGGCTAATGAAATGAAAGGGTGGCAGGAAATTACCATCAGGGGCTGGACTCAACCAGCCTTGAGTGCCACGTTACCTTTGCACGCACAAGAACTTACAGTCAGTGCAAACCTTTTACACTAACAATCTAAAGAGAAAAGACTGGACAAATTCACACTGCCCTACTACAAACAACCCCCTGGAATTAAGACACACAGGAAAAAGTCTATGATATCCTATTGAAAAAAAAAACGTGTGAATTCTCATTTGTTTTTCAACAGTTTTAACTGCAGTTTGGCTGAGCTGTTATTGGTTACCATTTAAACTATCACTAAATGAAGTTAAAAAACAAAGTAAGGACACAAAAACTAAATTGGTCTAGTGGAGCTCGGTTCCCCTATCCTAGGTTTTAAGCTATATGGATTACTGGAGTTTATGCCTCACGCTTCTGCTTGCCTGCGTGTAGAAATCTCAAACCCATCTCTCTCGCATTCCTTGGAGCAGCTCCCCAGCTCATTCCTTGCCTCAGTGAGGGGGATTTAGGCAGCCTTATCCGCACAACTAGACTGGCATTCCCTCTGCTGGGCGAGTTGCACCAAATATTCTCTACATATTCCATCTCACTATTGCATTCATTAGCATTTAACTGAACTACATAAGTGAAAGTTTACTCAGATACAAAAAAGTCCACATTAATATCAGTCTGTACTTTATAATATGATACAACATTTAATCTAATTTAGCTACTTAAACTTGGTATGAGCAGGACATGTCTAATGCACAGTAATGTACTTACCTGTTGAGCGCGTTGAACATCTCTATAGTGACCAGCACAGATAGAGCCATAGTGGTTGGGTAGCGTGACTCAAATATTTCACAATCAACGTTGGCGAACATGGGGTTGTCCTCTGTGCACTGCATGAAGTGTCTCTGTGGACCGACAGCCACACACATGAACGGATGAAAGGTGTTGTACAAGGCAAAAGGTAAAACAATGTTCATAAATTTTGAACCAGCCTCAATATAATGTTACTCAAATCAAGCCAGCAATTGAGAATATAAGTTTAAAATGTGTATCATACAAAATGCTGCCATAAAGCAATTATGCTTCGTCTTCTTGAGTTGTGATACTATCTCGGCTATTTTCCATTTATAGTTTGTATTAAACCTTTTGATGTGCTTCCAACTTACCAGCTGGTAGAAAGAAACCTGAGGACCTTCTTCATCAAGTAGGAACCACCATGTAGCGGCCCCTACTGTTCCCAGGCCAACATACCCTGCAGGGTATAACTGCGGTTATTATTCTGTCTTGACTAAAGCAAACCACCCCCAATGCATCGACCCTTCTAAGTTTACAACTTGTTAAACCAATCTGGTGGAAAAGTCATTCCGAGCAGCTCAAGTGATCAGAAGACCTTCGGGCTCTTGTGGTTTTACCAAGGTGTTCTCTGTCAACGACCAGAGTGCAAGAAGGCTCCCTCTGCTTCTACTGATAAAAGGGGACAGATCAGAGCTAGTTTGGGTGCCCCCCCCCAGCTCACCTCCGATTGCCAGATATCGGAAGAAGAGCCAGCCGGAGATCAGGGGCTCCTTGGGGTTCCGCGGGGGCTTGTCCATGATGTCCAGGTCCGGGGGGTTGAAGCCCAGGGCGGTGGCAGGCAGACCGTCCGTTACCAGGTTCACCCACAGCAGCTGCACAGGGATGAGGGCCTCCGGGAGGCCCAGGATGGCGGTCATGAAGATACTGGAGACAAGAGGACAGAGCCCTGATGTCAGGAATCAATGGTCTTATAAAACGGCTACCACAGGAAATGTATTAGCTGGGTGTCTCCTTGTCAGAATACACATGATATAGTGCAAGGCTTTTCATATGAAAAATATGGGATGATAAACATTTTGGATAGTTTGGTCAAATTCTAATAATGATCAAATGAGCTGACAAATATATAGGAAGAGCGGACGTATTGCTTAATGTTAACTTGACTGGCCAAGGATCAGCACCGTCCCAACTCCCCTCAACCATGAGGAATGAACCAGGGAGCTGCTGCAAGAGTGAAGTTGGGGTGGACGGAGGAGTGTTAAATCAGGCACAGAGTTAAAATTTATTAAGCATTTATTAGTATGATTGGGCAGAGGCAGGGTGCAGGTCCACAGGTAGCTATGTACATATCCGAATGATTCAGTAAGTGAGACAAGGTTTTCTTACCACACAACCTCGCCCACGTTGGAGGAGATGAGGTAGCGGATGAACTGCTTCATGTTGTTGTAGATGGCCCTGCCCTCCTCTACTGCTGCCACAATGGTGGAGAAGTTGTCGTCCGACAGCACCATCTCCGAGGCGGACTTGGCTACGGCGGTGCCCGAGCCCATTGCGATCCCAATCTCCGCCTTCTTCAGGGCTGGGGCATCATTCACGCCATCACCTGTCTGACAGGGGAAGGGGACACCATCACTGACAGGGCGGAATGGAAAACTGTCTGTCCGAGACCAATCTGGTCTGCAATGTGTATTCATACTGTTCTGACCTTAAGGCTCCAACTTTAAACAGTACAGAGCCAAAACATAAAAAAATGATTTTATGTTTTGGCTGATTCAAAGTTTTGGCTGATTAAATCAACAATTATTTTACATTTATTTTGCATAGACATACATCTACTGTTCAAACATGCCTCTAGCAAAAAGATTCCTTGCTTATTTAAGCTAATTACATAAGCTATCATGATAATGAAATTGGAAGAAATAACATTGAATCTGGTTGACTGAACGAGCAAGAGCACTCCTTCTGAATCGGACTGTGTCAGAGGTACTGTATCCAAGCCAGGTCCCGCAGGTGCCTGGAGGAAGCAGGTTTCCCTTCCAACTGGGTTATTAATGACCTTATTCAGTTAATTACTGGCTTAAATTTGGAACTTTTTCTCAGCATGTAAGGTGCTAGTGCTTTAAAAAGACTGGCAGTAGAAAACCTGCAGACACCCTGGCCTCCCATGAGAGTCTATAACTAGGTATTGGCTTAAGATTAAAACCGGTTCAGTCCTTCTCAGGTCCACTCACCATGGCGGTGATCTCGTCGAAGGACTGCAGGTACTCCACGATCTTGGACTTGTGCGCGGGCTCCACGCGGGCGAAGCAGCGGGCTTGCGTGCAGGCCTCTTTCTGGTCCTCGGGGGACAGGTCGTCAAACTCCCGGCCTGTGTAGGCCTTGCCAGTCACCTCCTCGTTCTCCCCAAAGATCCCAATCCGGCGGCAGATGGCCACCGCCGTGCCCTTGTTGTCGCCCGTGATCATGATGACCCGGATGCCGGCCTCGCTGCAGAGCTTGATGGAGTCCGTCACCTCCTTCCGCGGGGGGTCCAGCATGCCCACGCAGCCCACGAACGTCAGGTCGGTCTGCCGTTGGGAAGAAGGAGGGGAGACGGGAAGCTTTTGTGAGAAATGAACAGCAAACTGCATTGTGTGAAGAAGGCGAGTGCCTGGTTCACTCCGCAGTGCATCTGAAAATGCTTTGCCATTTGGAGTGACCTGGAATGTCAGAAGTGCCACGACAGGTTTAAAAGGGTAAAATGTACAGAGTAAAGTGTAATACCTCCATTTTACATCACAAAACAGACAACATTCTCAAGTAAGCACAGTGCCACATTCCCGTCATTGTCTATGATTCAGAATGAGGCAACAAAATATCCAGCCCGGCCCTATTATACTGTAAACAAGCAGGCTTTTGAAAACATCTCTTTAAATCCAAAAGTAATACTGCTTTCAATTTTTGTGTAGGCTTTTCTGACAAATACTACTTACTTGTCCTTGTACTTATTCGCTAATACATCGCATCACATTTATTACAGTTATTACAGGGACTAGTGAGCAGGGAGGGCTGCTTCACATCATAATTCGTAGGAACTCTCTCTCTCACCCGTGGCAAGACTAGGGGTCTGTCAGGGTTTCTGAGAAATTGGGACTGCAAATCCCTCAAACAACAAAAACTTTCAGATGGAACCAAAGTAAATAAAAATCTCCACATAGTGTGAAATTAGGCTTTCTGTTACAGTACATCAGTCATAAGGGTAAATCTTGCAATAAAGAGATCCTTGCTCGGGGACAGGTGCTGATGAGCTGACCTCATATATCGCGAACTTGGCAGAGTTCTCCAAGTCCATCTCCTCTTTCCTGGGCGGGATGTCCCGTGTGGCGAGAGCCAGGCAGCGCAGTGTGTCCCTGCCGGTCCCCCACTCCTTGATCTGGGCCATCAGCTGTTCCCTGAGTGGTGGCGTGAGTGGGATCTTACGGGTTCCCAGACGCAGGTAGGTGCAACGTTCTATCACACTCTCAGGGGCACCCTGAATGGAGGGACAATGGCTGAGCATTGAGGCTGTGTGATGGATTCCGGAATACTAGAATAATGGGCCAGATAACAGGCAAGACACCACTGGAATACTCCCCCTGTTGAAGCTGAAGCTGTGTATAAACAGTTCTTCAGTATTACAGTATTACACAAGAACCATTTTCTTTTATAAAAAGACAAATTGCCAGCTAGACCTGTCACTATATACTTTCAACTAATTCCAAAACCTTTTTATACTATTGGTGAAACACTCATGAGAATACTGTATATTATAAAGACATTTTAGTCTAATTAGTCCAATTAAGATGTTTTAATCTTGATATACCCAACAGGACAAAGAAAAAAAGACCAAACTCTCAAGCAGAATTAAAAGCTGATGAAACAATCTTGTTACGGATTGCCCCAATAAATATTATTGGAGTTCTTTACTGCAGTAAAGCACAAAATCTGATATGTGACTCTATATGGTAGGTGAGAGTCTGTAAGGAGCAGTGCATCTTTATTATCACATTAATTCAAACATCATTTGAGCTGCAGAACTAAACGTGTGGAATAGAATTGCTTATATAAAAAACAGTACCTCTCTCTATGTTAGAGTCACTTATTTATTTTAAATTTCAATATTATGTTGTATATATGATTAACTGCATGAAATGAACCCATCCTATATACAGTACATTTATTTAATGAGCTTAAAAAGCTAGTTCTTAAGTATCATGAGCAATTTGAAATTCCATTGCTATTACAATGTGTGTAAATGTACAATAGACTTTGATGAAAATAAATTGTGAGATATAGTGTATATCACCTATAACATGCCAAAAATGCTGCAATATATATTGTACAGTATATATTCAGGCTTATTGATTTCCCCTTTCCCCAGAACATACTGTATTAAGTATCTTATATCTTATGGAGTTTCTTATGTACCTATTGTCAATTGTGGATTTGTATTAAAAATGCAGGTAATATGTCAGTGTACCTGAATGACAAGATTTGTTCTGCCTTGATGGTACATTACACTGGCAGCATAAATTATGTTTTAGTTAATGGTCTCCAGGAAAAATATTCAGTATATTTTCTATATTGTGATTAAGAAATAAAGTAGAAATAATCATGAAAGGTAATTTGTAAAGGGGGTAGGAGAGAGAATTGCTGATAGAAATGTGTTCTCTCCATTTTCTGTACCTTAACGAACATCTTGCTCTGAGTGCCAGGCTTGGCTGGGCTGCAGTAGACAGACATTGACTTGCGATCACGGGAGAACTCCAGGGTGAACTCCTTTTTCATCAGCTGCTTTATGACCTGGGGAGAGAGAGAGGCAGGGTGAAGGAGAGCTGTCAGGCACACACGCTTCAGTGTAAATGACAGGCAGGCCAGTCACAGGTGGTCAGTGCAGTACGATATCACTAATCCGTCACAGCAGGGGATGGTGACAGCTTGTCAGCCCCACTGTGCATGTGCAAAGCCAAAAACTGCACCACTGTTGTGCTTCATTTAAATCCTCTTTTCTAATGTGGGATTTCAATCTAGTATGCGACAATACAACTGTATTGTGTGTTGTATGTGCAGAAATACAACAATGTAACCGTAGAAAGAGGCTCATGTGTTTTAACCTACTTCTCATAGTTA